ACCACTGGTGGTCCATGGACCACAAGTTGGGAACCACTGGTATAAAAAGTAGCATGGAGACATATGATTAGTCATTTTGTTTGATTTTTTTCTGATTAATTCACTAGAAGCAGTCAGCAATAATATGTTGCTGAACTTTTACGAAGTTGTGCAATGGAATTTGAACCAAAGTTATGAAGATAACCTGTCTAGAGTTCTGTAACTGTATATTGTATAAATTAATCAACGTGTTACCTAAATTGACTTAAATGGATGAAAGAGAAACATGTATTTCTGTCAAATGTTTGCATTCCAGGTGTGGAGCTGCACTCCTACAGAACTGGGCAAGAAGCGTTTTGAATTGCTCGCTGAATTGGAACATGATGTTAGTGTAAGTAGAAAAATATCTGCATATGTGCAAAATTAAATGATTTTTTTTCAGTTCAATCTTCAGTACAAACCAAGTTTGGAGGAGCAGGGATTTAAAGATTGCTTATTTTAAAGATAGATAGGAAAGATTTATATTGAAATATGGATCATCAGATAGCCAAAGCCATTTTAAAGGTGAAATAATAGTATAAATACAGTATTATCCTTCCATATGAAAAGTCATAATTTAATCATATCCTAAATATTTCCTATGCTTGAGTGATTAAAATATAACACTGCTCAACATGTCAGTTTTTTCTTTGTGTAAATATATTGTTAACTTAGCCCAAAAAAATATATCCAGTTTTACATGTTGAAGAGGTATTGTACTGTATAATCCATAAATTCATCCTTGGATTACTCCATCAGTGGAAGCATCTCAAGGCCTCATAATCTTGAATGCCTAAGAGCTCCTGGGACTGTGAAGGTGGATGTTAATGGCAAAAATGATTGTGTGCATTCCTAAATGTTTCTTTGCTTTCTCTTTCATTTTGCTTGTCTGAATAATGAATAAATAAAGGACTAAATAATGAGTATTGAATTATTTAGGTCAATACAATCAACTTAAATGATGCATATACGCTCCTGGCCTCAGGAACAAAAGAAGGGACGATTAGCATCTGGGATGTTTCAACTGCCTCTGTGTTACATCAACTTGCATGCCATTCAGGGACTGTCTTTGATGCCGCTTTTAGTCCTGGTAGGTTTTATTAAATCTTTCATGTAGAAGTATTGTGAAGAATACTTCTGTTAAGCACTGAGAAACTCAAATCACTATTTGAATATTAATATTGGGTATAACAAGCATATAATTTCAGTACAATTCTGTGTTCAAATGTTAATTTCACTATGTTCAGTTAGACCTTACTCCTAGGTGTGCTACAGGATTGGGGCCCTAATGATACCTAATACATGTCTTCCTTTCTGATTGATGTTTTGTAATATTAATGTATAAATTGCACTGACTGCCAATACATATCTAGTCTGAATTTAAGGCTCTTGTGATGACATTTGAAGTCTCTTTAAGGCGAACATGTTCCTGCAAGAGGTTTAAGATGTGTTGGCAGGGAGGGGGGCTTTTTTGTGTCCCACCAGCAGGTGCTGGACCCAGAGAGCGGCTGCGCCTCTGCTACAGCACCTGCACTGGCTGCCAGTTTGTTTCCAAGCCCAATTCAAGGTGCTGGTTTTGACCTTTAAAACCCTGAACAGTTCAGGTTCAACTTACTTATCTGACCAAATCTCCTCATACCAACTGGCCCATTCTTTAAGACCTTCTGATGAGGCTCTACTCTCACTTCCACCACCATCGCAGATGTGACTGACGAGGGAAATGGCATTTTTGGCAGATGCTCCAGCCCTCTGGAACACCCTTCCAAAAGAAATTAAACCAGCTCCCTCCTTTCTTCTTTCAAGAACCAATTTAAAACTTTCCTGTTTAGACAGGCCTTTAGTGAATGAAACTAAGTTGAAGTAATAAGAAACTATAATGTTTATGGACTGGAACAAAGTGCAGTATAATCTGGCATGATGCCACAATAATGTGAATGTATATGATTTTTGTTTTAAATTGTTTATGTTTTATACTTATCAATGTATTTGGATTATTGTTTACATGATTTTAATATGTCATAAGTTGGGAGAAAAGTGGGATATAAATAATGATGATGATATTTGTAATCTGCTCCAAAATCCTTGATATGGAAAAAGATATTTTAATAAACAATAGCTTGTAGGGTCCAAAAATTAACAAGTGCACAAATATACCTTGCCAGCCAGTACAAAAAAGGTGCAAAAAGTTAACAAGTGCACGAACATTGTTAGTATGTTTCCAGCCAAGTAAATAGAAGTGATTCATATTATTAGTAATTTGGCACCTTAAAACTAATAAATGGACCCAGAAAGCTTTGCTTGATGAAAAGGTTTTTGTCAAGTTTCCTAGGTGTTGATATTTAAAGCTAAACCTGTGGATGCCCAGACAGTATTGACTCCCAGAACTTATCACTCTTGATATCGTTATGTTTTTGAAATGCAGTATAAGGGGATCCCAGATTGATTGGATTGGCTCTAGATTTAGGACAGCGGTTCTTAACCTGTGGGCCTTGGACCACCTGAGGCCACGAGGATGAAAATCTGGTCCATGAGCCTCCTACTTTTTTGTCAATAGAAGCTAGACCACCCCAGGGCCAAATTTTAGTGGCCTTGTTTAAATAGCAAATCTTTACTTAACTAGTAAAACATAATGGGAGTGGATTTCATATGCTTGGGCCTAAAGAAAGTTATGGGTTGATGACATAATCTGCTTCAATTACATGCCCAGTACATTTGTTTTATAGATAGCCGGCACCTGCTAAGCGCAGGAGAAGATGGCTTCTTTAAAGTTATAGATGTGCAAACTGGAATGATTATATCATCTGTGGCTACAGAGCAACCCCAGAGGTAACAGTATTGCGTGGGATTTTTTTTTTGAAGTTGCTGTCTTGTATAGTTCTATGAAGCACCATAAAGGGATTATTGAATCACCAGTTCTTTTAGTATTGATATTGTTAGTTTGGAATCACATTCTTAGCAGTTGTTGTGATTAAACAGTAGTTTTTTTAATATATTAGTGAGATAATGGACTTCAGTATAGAAATTTATGATCTGATCTTAACTTAAACTTGCTAATTTTAATCTTGCTCAAATGTGGCTTTATATCCTTCTCCAGATGTTTCAAGTGGGATGGGAGTACCGTCTTATCAGGAAGTCAGTCAGGAGAACTGTTCGTTTGGGATATAGTTGGAGGAAAAATAGTGGAAAGAATCTCAGGCCATACAGGTATGTTTTGAATTCTCAATATTTTTTTCACTGTCATCCTGAAGTATGATATCTAAATGTTTTTCCAGAGTAAATTTTCTAGGAGCAATGCTTGAATCTGTAAAAGTTTATTTTCTAGTTAAGAGGCACCAGGGCTAGAAGATATATGTGGGTATATAATCTACATCATTAAGTATTCCCTTAACTTCTAGATTTAACCCTAATCATCGATGTCAGAGCAATAAAAGGGGAATCAGAAGGTACAAGTCAAACCAGCTTTTCTGATCTCTCTTTCTTCCTTAGGTGCTGTGACTTCTATGTGGATGAATGAGCAATGCAGCAACATAATCACTGGAGGGGAAGATAAACAAATTGGGTTCTGGAAGCAGCAATACTAAGTGCCTTCCCTCTCAAAGTATATCAGTATTGAAGATATTTTAAACGGAACTTTTTAAAGAACTTTATTCACAAATGATGCCTGCTGCAGTTCAGACAAAGAGCTTTGGCTGCCTCTAGCTTCTGTTGTGTGTAGCTGAGACCTCTGAAATATTTATGTCAAGACTACAGTATGCACCTGTATTTTGTTTACGGATGTCATTTCAGCTTTTAAAGCTTATCTTAAATACTTAACTGAAAATAAAGAATTATTTTTATGTAACCAGTGTTTTAATTTGATGCCACACTGACCTAATTAGCTGGGGGTGACTTGTATGTTTCCCTATAGAAGCAGCTGGCCAGGTTTTTTGTGCTGCAGAGTTGCACTTGCATATTTGATAACTTGCTTCAGCTGAACATTGCCATTCAATACAAGCATTATGTAGTATATTTACACTAAGAAACTGTGTACAATCCTGGCCTATATGCGCTCGTTTTCCCAGCACAGAGGAAACAAAACCTCAAGCCACTTGCTTAAGTGTCTGTTTTAGGTACAAACATTTGATCCTGCCAAACAGGCCATATTTTTCAACAACAGTAAGCTGCATCCTGTTAGTTAATCCCAGGACAGTCAACTACTTAAAAGATGGGTCAACATGCAAGTAAATCCAGCCTGTTTATTGGGTTTATGCTAGTTAGGATTAAGCAGTAGGATTCAGGCCATCATCTTGGCATTCTTTTACACTTCTAATAGGAACAAAGACACACCACTGTGAACAAAGGAAAAGCCTTTTATGATCTGTGGACTTTACAGTATCTTCTAAGGCAGGGCTTCTTAACCTTTTTCCTCTCATGATCCCTTTCTTTCAGAGAAATTTTTACATAACCCCAGATATAAAATATGTATAAAAGCAAACATTTGCTGATAAATCAGCCCCATTTTAAAGACTTATGGAGTACAGCTGATGCCTTTTCTGCAAAATCCATTGTATACAGATCTTGTTATGAACAGCTTTGTGTAAATGGCTATTGTTCAGAAACTTTGTACTGTTGCCAAACTTTTTGTAACCCCAACATTGAGCTAAGGAGACTCTTATTTGGATTCAGAAACCAAAGTTTAAGCAGTGTTCTAAGGCATCTCAACTTAATGCTGCCATTGCAATCATAATACAGGCAAAAGTAATAGGAGAACAGAAAGGTCAACCAGTTAAAGAGGCAAGTAAATAATGTGGCTGCTGGAGTTATTTTTTTATAGCAGAAACAGAACTTTGGACTTCTTCCTCAGTATGCTGGTATGGGAAATAATTCATATATATGCACATGTGTGAATTAGTCATGCTGAGAATAGAATATACATTTTTTTAAAAGGCGGTCTTGGGTTGGGAATAAAGTTTGACAAGGTAGTAAGTACAATGGCACCACAGTTGTAAAAAGTTTATTTTTTATTTCTCATTTAAGATGGTTAAGGCAACAGACTTTAAGCAAATTAGATTCATTTTGTAAGTGAGTAATTAGACAAGCAAATGCTCATCTGTACAACTTACTACTAAAAATGTCTATGGAATGATAAATACGAGCTATGCTCAGTGTAACCGGCATGCTTTGTAAACATGATTACTAGAACCAGTTAACTATCATTACACATAATTGAAAGATCAATGCAGACAGAATGGTAGTAGAAAAATGAAGTCTCGAAAAAGTACAAGCAGCAGCTGTATACTTTGATCACAAACAGCAAATACTAACACTTTCAAGGTACACTGATTTTTTTATCTATGCCAATAGCTTACAGAAAGTGTTGGAACTTTACAGCAAAACCTTATGAAAAAGCGTTATACAGTTCGTTTTGTCAAACCTAGTATAAGGCTGCAATGTGAACCAGGTAATATGTTGGATTGGACATTCCCAGCCATAACATAATGCAAATGCTCAATGTAGCATCATTTATCTTGGCTTAAAGAAAGGCTCATGTGCAGAACAAATGTTGCAAAGTAATAACAGGCCATGATCAGCAGTGTTTCTTCATTAGATGTCTCCAAAAGTAATCTTAAACCTCGGGAATACTGTGATCCATCAGGCTTTTCATAACGCTTGAAGCCATCCTGAAAGTAATAAAATATTTAGTAAGATTAATAGAATAGGGAGAAATATTTCAAGCCCCCAAGGGTACAAAAGGCAGCAAAATGCTAAACCTGTCACATTCATTGATCTTTACTGTATTTCCCTGAAAATGAGACCTAATCTGAAAATAAGCCCTAGAATGATTTTTCAGGATGCTCATACTATATAAGCCCTAAAATAAGCCCCAGTTAAGATTGTCAACCAGACGGACTAATTTAGTACATCCCTTGCAACACATGACAGATGTATGTATTTATAAAGTAACAATATATAATTAAATATAAATATATAAGATCATTGGTATTAATACTTAAAAGGCAATATAAATTATAATTAAGTATTTGTAAATACCCAAGAGAACGCCTTTGGAAGAGAGGTAAACAGATAAACTCGAGACTTATTGCCAAATGACCAACTGGAGTACACGAATCCACAACGCACTTGTTAACGAATCTTCATAATTCAGTGTGTGTAGTTTCCAAGAGAAACATGATTCATATTGGTTCACATTCTCAAAAATACACAGCAAAATCAAAACAATCTTCAGCAATGTTCTCCATCCTTTCAAATTGCTGCCTCAACATTTTATTTCACCTACTTAAAATGGGAGAAATATTTTGACACATACCTCTTAATCATGTGTTCAAAGATCTGAGAAGGCATAATGGTGATGGTCACTATATTTCCAGCTGTTGACAAGATGTCTGCAATTTGGGAATCCTATAAAGAGTTCAAGAAATTAAACATTCTTAGGAACTTATTGATTAAAAAAATGTCACAGCCATAGTTTTTTTTTAACTAAAAATGATCTAAAGTTTATTTTTTAGTCATTTTGAGGTATATTGAGTGAGCATGAGTGTCTTTTTAAAAATATGCACGTATGACAATATAGGTTACAGTCAGCTCATTTCAGTGGAAGCCAAAAGGTAAAACACTTGAACAGCACCAGTACACTTCTGTAGTGTCTAAAGCTCTCAGGAGGTATTTAAACAGAGACTGGATGACCATCGAGGGGTGCTTTAATTGTATGTTCCTGGCTAGCTGAAAGGGGGGGGGGGAGGTTGGATTAGATGTAGGGGCGGCCAACACACTCCCTCTAAGCAGCTGCCAGGCAGTCTTTGCTTGAGGGGATGGGGGAGCACTTTTCAAACAACACACTAGAAGATTATAGGCAACTCACTGTGTTGCAACACAATTTGGAAATTTCTGACCTAGTTAAATGACCAGTAACCTAACAAAAGACTCATATGCACAGCAAGGTTGCCTTTTTACTTCATACTCAAGGCTAGCATATTAGCAATAAAGAGTGCACAGCCACTATCAAACAACTGAACATATATTTCTAGCTATTTCCTATCAATTTTTTAGAAATACAAGTGAGTAAAACACACAACAATAAGAAAGCTCAATTGAACTGGATGCTCTAACTGACATGAGGAACTGCATCATAAAAGAAAGAGAAATGAAGAAGCTGGGATGATACTGATATTCTACTCCAGGCATGGGCAAACTTCCCCTCCTGATGTTTTGGACTTCCACAATTCCTAAAACGAATTGTGGAGATTGAAGTCCAAAACACCTGGAGGGACGAAGTTTGCCCATGCATGCTCTATTCAAATGAGGGCAGAAAGACCATATTGCTTCATCATTACCACACAGATACATTGACTGCTGCTACTCAATTTATAAAGCTGAAAGCGAAGTAGACAACTCGCCTAAGATTCAAAGTATTCCTGCAGGACATGTCCACATTAATCATATTGTCTATTCCTGGGCTTCTTAAACTGTGTGTTCCGACCCCAAATGTGGTCTCCTTAGCTCAATGTTGGAGTTCCGAAAAAATTGGCAACAGCAAAAGCTTTCTGAATGTCACCTAGTTGTAGACACTTACAGAATCTGTTTTGCAGGGTTTACAGTGGGTTCTGCAGAAGATGCTTCAGTTGTACTTCATAAAAAGGAAAATTAGCTTGTTTGGCAAGCCTTACAAATGCTGATTTGTTATCTGTAAATGATTGATTTTTATACCTATTTTAAATACCTGTATTTAAAATAGGTATAAATAGGGGTCACATAAAGGCCAAAAGGGGTCGCAAGTGGAAAAGTCTGAGATGTCATGGTCTATTGAATATCTGTTAAATCTTATAAATGTTCTCTGGAATAATTATCACACCCTACAGGAATTAAATTAATGCCGCAAAACAGAAAAAAATTATATGACAAATCGCTCATATGGTCAGATTTTTTTCTGTAATTGTGGACTACAAATTAAGGGGAATTTATCTATACCTCATGCCTCAGCATTATCTTCATTCTCCAGTTTATTTATATATATATTCACAAGGTATTGCACTTACCTTGAGGCCAATTACATTCTGTCCATTGATTTCACAGATGCTGTGTTCAGTCAGAAGTCCATTTCTAGCAGCAGAGCTGTCTTTCACTATTGATGTTATTTTTCCATTTTTGAAAATGAAGCCAACATGCCCTGTGCTGTCCTTGTGCATGGTAATAGTTCGCCCAAAAGGCCTGTTTTTTTATTAAAAAAATGTGTTTACAACTCATTGGCACCTTAGTACATTCATAAAATATTTTAAATAAATTTAATGTGAACTTATTGATCTCACATTACATCACACAGCTGGAGACTCAAACAAAATCTTAGCAACCTGCCTTACCAATACAGCCCCCAAGAAATTGTTAACCAGATTTCCTGAAGCTTTACCTGTCACGAACAATCATTGTAATTCTCTCTCCAGGAACTTGCTTCAAAACTTTATGTGCTTTATCAGAACTCCACCCTGCACAGTTTTCACCATTAATCTGCAAAACTTGGTCCCCAAACCGCAGGCCAGAAAGTGATGCCGGAGAATTTGCTTGAACCAACTGGACAAATATACCCTAAGAAAGACAGGACACCACATTAAGATAAACCAAGTATTTTACCAAATGTGTGCGAAAAATAGCAAAGAGAATTAAGTACATGTGCACTGGCAATTAACTACTAATTTTTAACAGCCAAACATTTTTCTCCTCCTAAACAAAATATACGATGGATATATCAAAAGATGTTCAGCTACTTGTCTGTGAAATTAATATGATCAATCTTGTTATCTGTGAAAATACCTATTTAAGGCTAACAAACAAGGTATCAGTTGTGCAATGAGCAGCCATGCAAGATGGTATTGCAAGCCCAATCCACTCTTGCTACCTTGAACTAAATCCAGACATTCTGTAAGGAAAAGAAATGCCCAACTGTTTCCAAAGGGAAAAATACACAGTTAATACCCATAAGATTATAGCTGATGTAGTAGACTGCCAAAACATTAAGAAAGCAAACAAATTCGACCAAGGAAGGATCCCTGTGGGTAAGGAATTCTATAACATCTTGGCAGTTTTTGACTCTAAACAGCAGAAGTTATAATACAGACATGATCTTTATCGTACATACATTGTCCACTGATTTAAGCCGAAGACCAATTTTTCCATCCTGATCTTTACATAAGATTATTTCACGGATTCCTTGCTTGATTTCTGCTCGACGAATTCCAACATCGTTTCCAGTGACAGGAGCAACCATGCAATTCACTGCAGAAGGTCTTGCAATAATCTGAGAGTTAGGAAATGTGCATATTATTTATAGGCCTCTGATTTGAACAGTATATCCATAAATGTGGTATTTTAGGACAAAACATAAATAAATGGTGCATACAGACAACATAATTTTACTATTTTAGGACAAAGATAGCTATTTCACAACGTATTTATGTAATTTATATCTTGTCTTTTCCCCAGCACAGATCCCAAGAACTGGCAGCTACATGTCAAACATACATATTAATTGCTTTTACAGGACTCCTATAACGTATATGAAATAGAACATCTAATGGGTTCTTGCTATTCAAGTAACCAAAAGAATCTTCCCTTTAAGAAAAAAAGAGCAGAAAATCCCAAAAGCTCAAAAAAATCTGAAACTGATGTTGTTACACTAATACTTACTTCCTGAGAATGTACAGCAGGAACTACTGTCATGTTTCTCTGTATCTCTTCTTCATTCAGGCTTAAACCCATATATTGGGTAAGTTCAGGATACAATCTGGGATATAAATCTAAAGGAAGTTTAAAATACATTAAGTAATAACTTGAGAGACTTTCTAGAAAAGCACTTGAAAAACATCACTTGATCCAGTAGTTTACAAACAATCTTCGAGCTGCAGCATTAACAAGGAAATGCTACTTTCTTCTAAGAGAAGCTTCCACAGCTATTGGTATGTTTCTGGCCTAGAAAGTTTTCTAAATCTTGGAATCAAAGTTATTGGAAATATTTTATTTTTATGCTCCTCTTCTGGTTAAAGATACAGAGAGAGGGGAAGCCTTCCTCTCATTCCCGCATGGCTTCTAGGATATGTTTGAATTAAATGAAAGAGAGGATTTTCCCAATAAAAACTTTCAGATTCTGGAATATATTCCCAAGGAAGATGAGGATCATTCCTCTCCTTTGGCTTCAGATATTTTTTAATATGTAAAAAAGATTGGTGGTGATCAAGGACACCTGACTAGGTTGGTGCTGTGCTTTGGTTTTACTGGTGTAATTTATCGTATATACTCGAGTATAAGCTGACCCGAATAAAGGCACCTAACTTTACCACAAAAAACTGGGAAAACATATTGACTCAAGTATAAGCAGATGGTGGGAAATGCAGCAGCTACTTGTAACTTTCAAAATAAAAATAGATATCAATAAAATTATATTAATGGAGGCATCAGTAGGTTAAATGTTTTGAATATTTACATAAAACTGTAATTTAAGATAAGACTGTCCCAACTTCGAGTAAACCATTATTCTAACCTTCTACACTGTAAATGTACTTATGCATCCTTCCAATAATAATAGAGTAAAATAATAAATGTAATAAAAATAATTGAGTAAAATAATGTAAATGTAATAATGACAGTAATAATAGAGTAAATTAATAAATGTAATAACAATAAAGTAAAATAATGTAAATGTAATAATACTAATAGAGTAAAATAAAGTAATAGTAATAATATAATAGAGTAAAATAATAAATGTAATAATAATAATAATAATAATAATAATGAAGTAAAATAATAAATAACTTTGACTCGAGTAGAGGGGGGCTTTCTCAGCCTAAAAAAGGGCTGAAAAACTCAGCTTATACTTAAGTATATACAATAAATCTGTTTTCATGGTTTAATCTGAATTTTATTCTTACTAGATTTCTTCAGTGTTATTTTAAATAGAAATGTGGGCTATACATTTGACAAATATCCCACCCGACCATCTCTGATTCAGAGATATTTGGAAAACAGGTGTACATTTGGACTGTAACAAAAAGATCATCATATATAAGAAATGCAAGAGTTGATATAATAAGCTAGAGTGCATAATAATGATAAGCATCTGGGCAATTTTATTTGCTATACTTTGGTTTTGATGTTATTTGGATTTAATGTCTTGCCTTGTTTTTCTAATACTGGTTTTTATGTTATACCTCCCACCCACGCTTCTCCCACCCCGCCATCTATAATCACTTACTTCCATCTTGAAAGGCAGGTGCTGAGGCTTCAGAAAGAATTGCTGGGTTAGCTGGGTTTGAAGCAAAAGATGTCTGGGCCTACAAAGGAATGCATTTTATGGAGCTTGTTTAAAAGTATAATAACACCATATACAAATTAATCATGCCCCCCCCCCTTTCTGCCCTGAAATTTAACATCTATAGCTGGATAGGCATTATATTCCTAGCTATAATGAGGTGTTTCCCCTCAATCTTCAATAAAAAATAATTTCTACTATAAGATGTCCTCTGTCATACCTGAATTACTTTGTCTACCTTCAGGTCTTCCAAGGAAGGATACAGAGACATTTTCAAATAGTTTCACTGGAAGAAAAAACAAACACAAAAAAGAATCCTGAAATTAGTAAAACATTCTTAGGTCCACTTGTGACAGAACCGTATCTATGTATCTAATGTATCTATGCTTGCATGTATCTAAAGGAGGCATTTGTGAGACCTATATTTAAAAAGCCATCCCCGAACCCCTCTATAATGAACAACTATTGGCCAGTGTTCAACTTCCCCTTTCTGAGCAAGGTCTTGAAGCATGTGGTGGCCTCCCAACTCCAAGGATTTCTGGATGAAATAGATTGTCTAGATCCATTTCAATCTGGTTTCAGGCCTGGCTGTGGAACAGAGACAGCTTTGGTCGCTTTGGTGGATGACCTACAAAGAGAGCTAGACAGCGGTATTGTTTGGTTCTCCTGGACCTCTCAGCAGATTACAATACCATTGACCATGGTATCCTTCTGGGTCATCTTGCCAGATAGGACTGGGATGTATTGTTTTACAGTGGCTCCATTCCTTCCTGGAAGGCTGTAACCAGAAGGTGGTGCTGGGGGACTCCTGTTCAAACCGCTACCCCAGTAGTTCTCAACCTGGGGTCCCCAGGTGTTTTTGGCTTTCAACTCCCAGAAATCCTAACAGCTGGTAAACTGGCTGGGATTTCTGGGAGTTGTAGGCCAAAAACATCTGGGGACCCCAGGTTGAGAACCACTGTGCTAGCCATTGACCTGTGGAGTTCCTCGAGGTTACATTTTGTTTCCCATGCTGTTTAACATACACATGAAACCGCTGGGAGAGGTCATCCGGAATTTTGGAGTATGGTGTCACCTGCGTGCAGATGGCACCCAGCTTTATTACTCCTTTCCACCTAATGCCCAGGAAACTGTCCTGACCCTAAATCAGTGCCTGTCATCAGTAATGGACTGGATGAGGGCAAACAAACTGAAACTTAATTAGAGAAGACAGACTGACTCCTGGTAAGTTGGAAGGTAGACCAAGGAATAGGGATTCAGCCTGTGCTGGGTGGGGTCACACTCCCTCTGAGGACACAGGTCCACAGATTGGGGGTCCCCCTAGACTTGGCATTGAACCTGATGGTCCAGGTATCAGCGGAGGGCCTTTGCACAATTAAAACTTATGTGTCAACTGCCCCTGTTTCCTTGAGAAGCCAGATCTGGTACATGCCTTAGTTACATCCCATCTGGATTACTGTAACATGCTCTACATAGGGTTGCCTCTGAAGACTGCTCAGAAACTTTAGTTGATCCAAAGAGCTGCAGACAAGTTGCTAACTGGAGCTGGCTACAAGAAGTGAGCAACCCCCCTGTTGAAGCAGCTCCATTGACTGCCAGTCTTCTACCTGGCACAATTCAAACTGCTGGTTATGACCTTTAAAGCTTTATGGCTCAGCTCCAGGCTATTTGGCCAATTGTATCCCCTTGTACGAACCTTCATGGGCCCTGAGATCTTTAGGAGAGGCCCTTCTCTCAGTGACATCTCAATTTCAAGCTCGGTTGGTGAAAACTAGAACATGAGAACATTACTCATGTTCTAGTTTTCATTAAATTTCCAGAAGATACTAGAAATTGAGAGACTAATTTCTGTTTGGAAAAATCTGTATAAACATTTTAAAATAAGATTCTATATTTAATCTTGAATATCTGGGCCTGAACTTTGGAAGTGAGAGAGAAAGTTCCAGCTGTTGAAGTATCTCAGCCCTAGAAGTAAAGCATCTCATCACAAGGCAAGTTAAATATTGCTCTGAATTTAGCAACATGGTAAGAAGCTTGTTTCCCATTCTGATAATAAAGAACTTTGCTTTTTAGTTAAGTCAGACCAATTAAAAAAGAAAGGTGAAGCTTGGAACTGAGCAGGTTCCAGTGGATAGCCAGAATATTTCACAGAAAGTCATATGAAAAATTAGCAGTTTACTGAAAAGAAATTATGGTTATATTCTACAGTTCCACACACAGCTTGACAGGTAAAGCTGAGGGCTATCAATCCATAGATGAGACACTGCCATAGTACTGGTTTACATTATAGAGAAAGGTTAACTTTTGGGGGTAATAGGAAATGTATAGAAAAGAGACTCAGTACATAATATCAAGGCGATGGCAGAGCAGTATTTATTTAAACTGACTCCCAGGAAAAGCAAACAGAAGCTGAGCAAAATCCAGTTCAGGATGAATCATCCCTAGGAAATGAGGATGGAAATCTATTTGTTCAAATACAAACACATCAGAAAAAAGCCATGAGAATACAGCAGAACATGAAAGCTTAGCGGTGTGGAATATGTTATTTTCCAGATCGGGGGTCCTCAAACTAAGGCCCGAGAGCCGGAAACAGCCCTCCAAGGTCATTTACCTGGCCCTCGCTCATGGTCAACGTAAGTCTGAAACGACTTGAAAGCTGACAACAACAACAATCCTATCTCATCAGCCAAAAGCAGGCCCACACTTCCCATGGAAATACTAATAAGTTTATATTTGTTAAAATTGTTCTTCATTTTTTATTGTATTGTTTTTAAGTGTTTTTTGCACTAAAATAAGATATGTGCAGTGTGCATAGGAATTCATTCTTTTTTTTTCCACATTATAATCCGGCCCTCCAACAGTTTGAGGGACTGTGACCTGGCCCTCTGTTTAAAAAGTTTGAGGACCCCTGTTCCAGATGATTTGGCCTGCAGCTCTCAGATTTCTGGACCATTCACTACATTGGCTTTTTTAATCCAAAACTTTTCAAGAACATAGAATGGATATCAATTGGTTTTTTAAAAATTTAACTGATATTTAAAAATAAGAATTGAAAGTCTAAATGGCTCTAAAATGCCTCTCATTCAAACAGTCAGTCCCCAGGCTGAGAATAAGATTCTGTAGGTTTGTTCTTAAGTTGAATTTGTATGTAAGTCAGAACAGGTACATTTTTAAAGCATAACTCCAGTGATGTATGTATGTATGTATAGATAGATAGCATAGGAAAGGGTTAACACCGCTGTGGTGTTGGTTTTGCTGTCTGTGTCCCCTGTTCAGTGTGATAGTCAGATATCCTTTGGATGATAGTGTGACATCTACAACCATCTTCAGCCAAGCAGTTCTGTGTCTGCTTTGCTTTATGCTCCCCTAGGGAGACTGCCCTACCTATAAAACTTACAGTAATTAAAGTTCCTAGATGTATAGGACAGTGGATATAACAGCTAGCTAACTTCACTGGCTACCAATCTATTTCCAGTACAAAGTGGTTGCTAGAACCTATGAAGCTTCATACAGCTTGGGTCCAGGGTATCTGAAAAAATGTGTTTTCTAATAATATGTGCCTGCAGGGCATGCCTATGATATTTTAAAGGAGGACATAGATATAATATGAATAATGGAAAGTTGGTATGACTTTTTTTTTTTGCCATGTGAGGAGCGACTTGAAAAACTGCAAGTTGTTTCTGGTGTAAGAGAATTGGCCGTCTGCAAGGATGTTGCCCAGGGGACGCCAGGGCAGTACTGAAATTGGCTTTTGCTATCATGTTAAAAAATGCAGTGGAAATAAGGCTAAGAAATGAGATGGTAAAGCTGACTAAATCAAAATTGTTTAAGCAAAATGAAACAAATGAAATTACAAAGTTCCAAACTAGGGAAATGGGCACTAAAATAGCAAAGGCAATTCAATCTAAACAAATGTAAGATGATACTGAAAGACACACATGCTCAATTCTAATATCACATATACAGTGAAAGGAAATGACTTCGCAATGAAAGTGAATTGCTAGGAAAATTATGATGGTATATTGCTCAATGCATATGTTTAAGCAAAAGGAATTCCTGTATGGTGGGATCTGTTTGGAAAAAAACTGAAGCCACAAATATCAATCTTTTGTACAGTTCTATGCTGCTTCAACGCCTATAATAAGCTACTGAATTTGGGTCATCATATCTTAAGACATACAGGTGAGTTCAATTTACATTACTCACAACCAGAATGCATAGCTCTCTCAGCACACCTGAGAAGTGGAGTGAAACAGAGGTGAGTGTGTGAGAAAGGTGAGTTGAGCTGAGATGCAGCTTTGCCATAAAGCGACTGGACAGTGTTACCTTCCTAAACTGGAGGAATGGGGAAAAGTAACTGCAGTTTTGCTATCACTGAAGGAAAGGGTTACAATAGGAAAAAGTACACTTTGCTAGTGGGTAACAGTATCAACAGTCACTTGTGGTGAGATAACTGAAATGGCCATCTTTGTTGTTACCCAGTTCTTTACATTTACGTCAGTTACAATAAAAGTCTAGGAGACCAACTTTAACACAAACTGAAACTCCTCTGTGTATTGCAGAGCAGATGAAAACATAGAAAATAGCCAGCCAATAGCTAGTGACCTGAGGAAGCCTCACTATAAGTCAAAGTAATATTTTAGCTTAGAAAATGGCAAGAGAAAATAATAAAGGTATGTAAAACTATGTATGAAACAGCATCAACTTCCCAAAACCGGGAAGGGGGATTTCAAGCTAAAACAGTTTGTCAAACAATTATCTCAACAAATTCTGGTAATACTAGTGACTCACATGTTTTGGAAACTCTGATGGGGAATTAGATGGCTCTTCAGAAACAAAATACTGTAATCTATTGTAAAACAGAACACAAAATAATACAATATCACTATATTTTCTCATCCAGATTTTACACTGAAATTGAAAACATGGATGTAGTACTGAACACCTTTACTAGCCATTCAGCCTTACAGAACCCAGTATTTTATTGCAAACAAAAAACATAGAACTTACTGAATTTACCCTCAGTAGTCATCTAATATTATTAAATACAAAAGTTAAGATGGACCATGTGAGACCTGAACAGGTCTGTTGACCTTGAAGGAATGTCTCAACTGACCACTTAATATAGATTGAAGGCGGGATTGTCCCATGCACAGGGTTGCCATAAGTAAAGTCGATTCTAGGACAGCTAGCAACCACCATATGGTCACATGTACACACAGAGATGACAGAGAATGTATATATTAAGACATAGTTGGAATCAAGGCAACAACCAATACACCCCAATTTTATCTCTCTTGGTTTGTGGTTTTAAAAACCAAAACAGGCAACTCCTAGTAACATCTAAAGTACACACACCCGCAGCAATGGAAAAGACATCACGTCATGCAGAAAAACCAACAACTTCCTTCTCCCACCTTTCAGCAAACATCCTGTAACAAAACTGAAAATGGATGCCTCCTCCTCCTCCTCCATTTGTGACTCCTCTGAGGAATCAAAGCCTCTCAGTGCTTCTCTCCCCCACCTCCCAAGAACCTATTTCAAGGAAAAAGGGAACTGGCAAAGCTTTTGCTTGCCTCTCCTCCTTCCCTCCCTGCTCAATCTGGGCCTCTGTCCCAAGTAGGAGGAGGAGGGGGGAGAAGGAGAAAGGAGGGAGAGAAGAAGGGGAATGAGAAAGCAGAGGAAGAGAGAGAGGAAGAGGGAGGAAAAGAAAAGAAGGGTGGAAGAGCAGGAGAAGGGAGAAAGAGGAAAACTTATGAAAATTTGAGAGAGAATGGGGAGGAAGAGGAGGAAGAAGAGAAGGAGAAAGAGGCTGGAAAGAAAGGAGGACAGATGAAAGTGAGAAAGGAAGAGGTGTACGAGGAGGAACAAAATGAGAGAGGAAGAGAGGAAGGGAGAAGGAGAAAGTAAGAGAAAGAAGAGGTGAAAGAGGAGAAAGAGGAGGGGAGAAAATTAGGATGGGGGTATGAGGAGGAACAGAAGGAGAAAGAAGAGATGGAATGAAGGGGGAGAGGAAGAGAAAGAAGGGAAGGGGAGAAAGAAAGTGGGGCAGGGCCAGTCAGATAAATTAGAGAGGATAAGAGAGAGGGAATTTTGCACAGGACAGAATAGATGACTAACATGAAGATGGGGTGATGGGGGGAGGAAAAAAAAAGAAGCCAGAGAAGACTGAACAACATATTAAAAATTTTATAGAGTATAGTGGAGTTTAATGAGAAGGGTGGAAAGAAAGAGAAAGAGGTAGGAGAAACAAAGGCAGGGAGAAAAGAAGGAGGGATATATATGATAAATTCACATTTTAGGAGAGAAGTACAGTGGAGAAGACATAAGAAGGAAAGAAGAATGGCGGAAGGGGAGAGGAAAGAAAGAAAGTGGGGGGAAAGAGAGAGAGGATGTGTGGTGAAAAGAGGAGAATGGGAAAATATAATTTTCAAATGAGATAAATTATAGCAATGAGGGAAGTAACAAGGGCAGAGGAGGGAGCAAAAGGAGGAAAGAGGAAGGAAGGGGACCAAGGAAGAGAAAGAAGAGGGGAAGGAGGAGAAAGAGAAGGAGAAAGAGGAGAGGAAGAAGAAGGAGGACAGATGAAAATTAGAGAGGGAGAGTACAAGGAGCAAGAGGAGGAGAAAGGAGGGAGAGAAGGAGGGAAGGGGAAAGGATGAGAAAGAAGAGAAGGGGAAGAAGAGAAAGAGGGAAGGAAAAGGAAGAGGAGTAGTACAGGAGGAAGGGAAGGAGAAAGAGGAGGGGGAGAAGCAGGAGAACAGATGAAAATTAGAAAAGAGAGGGAGTAGGAGGAGGAAGAGAAAAAAGAATACGAGAGAGAGAGAAGGAGAAAGAAGAAGAGGTGAAGAAAAGATGAAAATTAAGAAAGAGAGGAATACGAGGAGGAGGAAGAGAAGAAAGAAGAGGAGAGAGAGGAGAAAGAAGAAGAGGTGGAGAAGAACAGATGAATATTAGAGAGAAGGGGGAGTACGAGGAGGAGCAAGAGGAGAAAGAAGAGGAGGGGGGAGAGAGGATGGAGTAGGAGAGAGGGCGGGGGAGGTGAGTAAACCCCTCTCGCTGCCAAACGTCTTGTGTGCGTGTGTGTGTGTTGGGGAGGGGGCTTCAGGCGCTCTCCCTTTCTCTCCCAGACTCAGACGACCCTCCCCTTCTCTTCAGACACGTCTCGCCTCAGACCTAGACAAGGAGCAACAGCAGCCATACAAATCAAGGAGTGCCCACCCCACACACACACTTTTCTTCTTCAGGTGACAAACAATCCCCATAAAATCGCAAATGTGCGGCCTACGGAGGCGTCGCTTGTATTTGAGGAGGGTCCGAGGCACCAGGCCTCCTTTTCTGAGGGAGAAAGAAGGCGCCTCTCCCACCCCACCCCACCCCACCCCCGGCCCTTGATCCACCCCAGGCCCCGGCCTCCCTCCCTCTCTCCCTCTCACACAAACACGGTTTTTGCTTCAAGTCGTTCTCACCGAGCGGCCTTGGCGACGACTCCTCTCCTCAGCCCGTTAGGCGACGACTCGAAGGCGGAGGTGCTTCCAGGAGGAACTGCCAGGGAGGGAGGGAGGGAGGGAGGGAGAGACCTCCGCGCATGCGCAGAGCCCGGCCCCCGGGAAGGCTCGTGACCGTGGGTGAAGGGACAGAAGGGAAAGCGCGGGAGGAGTCAAGGCTGGCTGGTGGGAGCCGCCTCCAGTCTCCTTCTGAGAAGGGCTGGGAAACTTCATATAATCCTCAAGTTGGAAGAGACCACAAGGGCCTCTGTACTATTGATCAGGTATGGGCAAGCTGGGGTAAAAAATGCTGGAAGAAACATTAACAACCTTAGATATGCAGATGATACCACTTTGATGATACCACTTGGTGGTATGGGCATACCAAATCACCTTGTCTTTTTCCTGAGGCAGGCATGTAGGCGGCGGGGGGGGGGGGGGGCTCGAGGGGCTTCCGCGCCCCCCCCAACACCCACCCCCCCCCCCAGCCCCCCCCCCCCCCCCCAAATTTTCATGGTGGTTCGCAAAAAGACAGCCAATATAAATATTTAAAATGTATTGTCGAAGGCTTTCATGGCCGGAATCACTAGGTTCTTGTGGGGTTTTTTCGGGCTATAGGGCCATGTTCTAGAGGCATTTTATTGCAGTGCATATTTCTTATTCTCCCCCCTTTAAATTTTTGAAGACATACAGCCTTTAAAGCAGAAAACAACAGCTGTTTTGGCAGAGGTCACAGAACTGGTAACAAGATTGGAAAATGACCGTACAGACGCTCAAGAAGCTTTGGAGTTTGAGAGACGTCGCAGGAAAAAACTCTACCTATATGCTGACAGCCTGTCACTTTGGAGGCTACAACAGCTTCCCATAGCTGTTCAAAAAGGTGGGAACTGTTACCATATAAAGAGAAAAAGAATTAATCATATTGTCGAAGGCTTTCATGGCTGGAATCACTAGGTTCTTGTGGGTTTTTTCGGGCTATAGAGCCATGTTCCAGAGGCATTTCTCCTGACGTTTCGCCTGCATCTATGGCAAGCATCCTACAGGACTCACTACCTCTGAGGATGCTTGCCATAGATGCAGGCGAAACGTCAGGAGAAATGCCTCTAGAACATGGCCCTATAGCCCGAAAAAACCCACAAGAACCTATTTAAAGTTATGTTTATTCGTATCATCTGATCACCATACTCAATATATCCCATATGCATGGGGGTATTGGGGTAATGATACAAAAGGTTTGTTAGGGTAGACCATCTTTCACTCAGACTCAGCCCCCCAAAACTCAGCCCCCCCCCGAACCCCCCCCCTGAAAAAAACTCAGCCCCCCCCCCCCGAATCGAAATCCTGGCTACGGGCCTGACCTGAGGAATCTGTATAAGGACCAAGTAGCAACAGTCAGAACTGACAATGGAACAACAGATTGGTTCAAGATTGGGAAAGGCGTACAGCAGGGTTGTATACTCTCCCTCCAACCTATTCAACCTGTATGCAGAACACATCATGCGATGTGCGGGGCTTGACGAATGCAAGGCTGGAGTGAAAATTGCTGGAAGAAACATTAACAATCTTAGATATGCAGAAGATACCACTTTGATGGCCAAAAGCGAGGAGGAGCTGAGGAGCCTTCTAATCAAGGTGAAAGATTAAAGCGCAAAAGCTAGGTTACAGCTAAACATAAAAAACCAAGATTATGGCAACAAGAATGATTGATAACTGGAAAATAGAGGAAGAAAACGTGGAGGCAGTGACAGACTTTGTATTTTTTAGGTGCCAAGATTACTGCAGATGCAGACTGCAGCCAGGAAATCAGAAGACGTTTACTTCTTGGGAGGAGAGCAATGACCAATCTTGACAAAATAGTGAAGAGTAGAGACATCA